AACAACCATGACCACGGGCACAATAGACTTCATACCAACTTCGGCCACATCACGCCCATCATTGCCACACCAACGCCGCTCCTATGCCTAGGGCAACAAAAAAAAAAAGGACAGAACTACCCGAATCAACTGGGAAAACAAGCGTAGATCTAAAAAGTTAGGAAGAGGGGCGATGGTTAGCCGGCGGGATCATGACTTAAAGGAGAAGGCCCTCCTCCGCAGGGACGCTATCATTCTAGTCCACGACTGCCTAAACTATGTCCTAAGATACCGACTGGGGCTCCGTTGACCTCTCCATATTCGTCGCCGACAACAATGAGTCTCAACGGAAGATCGAGGATGATTTCAACACCTTCACCTCCACCAAGGAGACGGATATGGCTTAGCCACTCGTGCAACACATATCCCCTTTAAAAGCCACATCGTGCACTTTATGATTTAACAAATGAGAATGCGAGAGAAGATGAAACTTCGAGAGAAAGTAGTGCAGTTTTACAATAAAAAAGTGTCTGTTTTTTTATCTGATAATAAAAAATTATTTTATTTCTTAAAAAGGTATATTATATTTTGATAAATGTATTTTTGTATAGTTACACTCGTGTATATTATATAATAAAATAGTGAATCGTGTATTCATATACATATTACATTATAGGAATATACCATTACATTAATCCCTATAAGCATATGTGGTCGAATATACTTTATTTTTATATTATAATTCAATTTATGAATAATTATATAATACATATGATATTCAAAAATAAAATAATATTTTAAATTATTTAAAAAAATGCATTTTTTAATTTTATTTTTATATAAGTATTATATTTAATTAAAATATGAACTAATTAAAATATGAACAATAAATAAATAAATAAAAATTATTAAAGTGTTTCTCGTTTATAAGAGTTTCTCGATGACCCAAATACAAACTACTATACTATTGCGTCTTTTTTCCCTCGCTTTTCACTTCACAGATACCACGTCGTTAGTCGGAGATTCTGGCGCTTGATCTCCATCGCCGTTTTTTTTTTCTTATTTCTTTTCTCCTTTTTTTCTTGTTCTTGAGCAACCCTAACCCTAATTTTCAGTTTTTGCCGCCAAGAAGCTGAGATCGGTGGTTTTCATAAAGCCATATTTAGCACCGAGGAGGATTTCTGATTTAATTGATTGTCAGTTTTTTGCCGATACCTTCTTCGATTAGAATGTTTTTGTCCAAGGTAATGAATGAAGATTTTATTTTTATTGATACCCTGAATCTTAATTTCGTCTTCGTTTCGTTTGGTTTTTTTTTTCGAATTTTTGTATTCTGTGTTTTGCTTTTATGATTAGCCATTGGTGATGGAACCCTGATTTTTACTGAACGTCTTCGATTAGAACCTTTTTTTATCTAAGGTAATGAAGGAAGATTTTATTGATACACTGAATAGTAAATTTCGTTAATATTTTTTTTTTTTTTTTTTTGGGAATTTTTGTAGTCTGTGTTATTGCTTTCATGGTTATGTAGCTATTGGTTTAAGTTGATGTAACCCTAATTTTTACTGAACGTTGAATTTGAAGAAGTTAACTGCAGATGTTTGGAAAATTCAATATATTATGTTTCTGGGTATGAATGTATCCATTTAAATACCTTTTTTTGTATGTCAATGATGCCTTGAAATTGTTTTTGGCATATCCAAGGAAGTTCTATTTGTTTGATTTGAAACATAAGGCAATGGAACAATGTAATATGTGAGGAAAATAATCTGTTGATTGCAATTTGTTAACTGAGTTTATATCTTACATTTATTATGCAGAACGAGTAATAACTATGTTGTTGATTCTATTTTCATTCTCTATTTCTCCTGTTCATATAACTAATGCTCGATTAAACAACCCAAAACAGGTGCAATGGCTGAAAAATGCAACTCAAATCGCAGTGCGTATACCATTGACTTGAATACCTTCACCAAGAGGCTGCAGGCTCTCTATGCAAACTTGCGCCAGCACAAAAACATGCTATGTGGTTCGTCAAATTACCTTGTTGTGGCCACATCGCCTCCTTCTGAAGATTTACGCTACTTGAAATCCTCTTCCCTCAACATATGGTTGCTCGGTTATGTGTTCCCCGAGACAATCATGGTTTTTGGGGACAAGCAAATCCATTTTCTGTGCAGCCAAAGAAAGCGTCTTTGCTAGAGGCCATTAAAGAACCCGCTAAAGAATCATTGTCTTTTGATGTTGTCATGCATGTGAAGGCGAAATATGAAAATGGGATCAATCAGATTCTTTAGGGTCATACTTTGGAGTCGTGGAGAGTTGAAGCATGTCTTCGGATATAGTATGGAATATTTCATTTACTTCTTTGTGTCTGGGTGTAAAGTTAGTTGGATTTTATATATCCTAGCAAGACTTAATTTGTGGTTCTTTCTACAATTTAATTTTTTTGCCTGCATTTGTTAGTTATATGCTTGAGAAGGTAGAAGAAAGGTAGCATTTTTATTGGAGTATTGGAGTTTATAAGGATGTCTACATAGAATTATTCTTAAACGACCTAAAAAGCTGGAACTTCTTGTCAAGCGTGTATCGATAACATCTATTCAGAGAACATTACTACTATTAGTGTTTTTTTTTCTTTTTTTTTTTGGCATTTTCAGGTTGTCTTTGACCCAGATTACAATGTAAGTGTTGCAGAAGTGCTTATTCCTGTGAGTGACTTATGTCAGCATATCAGGTATTCAGTCCCAAAATATAATTTCTTATTACAAATGTTATGAAAATACTTGGATGAGAAATGGTGATAGTTGTCTTTATGTTTTGGCCAAGTCTTACTCACATGGATATATGTCATCTTTGTTATTTGTTGATGCATTTCTAATAGAATATTTTTACCTTCAACCAGGTGAATTGGTTTCGTTCTTAACTTTTTTGTAAGTGCAGAATTGATCCTTCTTGTGGTATGTAATTGAAGTACAAAGCTTAAAAGTTTGTTAGAGATTATTATATTGTATGTTTTGGACAGTGATAATATATGTAATGTCATCTTTATTGTTTGTTGTTGGTTTTTTTTTTTTTTTTTCATTCGGGGTGAGAATGAAGTTATTAGCAAGAAAGACTTTTTCATTCTACAATGCTATAATCCTATTATCAGTTATGTCAATATAATAATTTGATTTTTTTTCAATGGTTTCTATTTTTTGGAAGGAAAGAATCAGAACTATTGTAGGCCATTTGTTGTCATTTTCAAAATTCTAACCAAATGAAATGCTTAGTTAGTCTAAAAACTCATTAGATTTAATGATTTACCTTTTTGTAATTCAACATTCGCTCTAGATCCTAAAAATTGTGTTCCTCGGTCTCCCGAGCCTTCACGTCGCGCCTGAGAGTCTTTATCAGCTTAACCACCTCGTTTATGTGCCTCGAGTCCTTGGACCGGAAAGAGACCTCTTTCAGGTAAACGACACTCTGATGGGTGGGTCCGGGCAGATTAAATACGATACGCAAGTAACAGCTCTGGTTCGTGTCTTGCTGGCTTGTGGCGGTTTTCACAGTGGACACGTGGAAAGGGACCATGCAGCCATAGATGGGAATCAGGATGGACTCGTTTTTTCTGGTCGACCTGGATCGTCATCATATCTCGGATAAGCATAAGCAGGGCCTCATTCATGCTCTTGTATGCAATCCGAGCTTCGGCCCACCCGTTCACGTTGCCCGACTCAACTCCGGTAAGGCGCCGGGCAGTCTCCTCGTTTTTCTGGCGGGCAAGTTTTGCCTGGTGCTGCTTCCGGAGCTCCTCCTTGGATAGCTCACCATTGTCGGATCTGAGGTTTGCTTTGGAGGACACGTATTCTTTTTCTTCAGCATTGCTATCAGACTTTGGTTTCTTTCTCAGCGGCTCATCTACACCGTCCTCTTCATTGAAGGAGTACGCGATGTCCTTAAACAATTTCGAGCTGGCTGACGTGGCAACATCACGTCCGCCGTCCGTCATGAAAACCGTATCGGTGAGCAGCGTCGAGAAATTTTGGGCTTTCGGGCCTTTTTTCGTTTTTGCCTGTATATTCTGAAAACCAATCGAAACATTAAGGGCCATCCCCACTTTCAGCACTATCTCATTTTCCGCATCAAGACTCAGCCCAGACTATGAAACTCAAGACCGATGCCTGTCCCGGCATATTTTGTCAGGTTAGGGAGAAAATCGGGAGCATCGATTTTCACCACAGAGAGAGCAGCCTCGTAGACCACACGGGCTTTTTTCCCTGGCCTCACCGCAAGAATAGCAGCCTCATGTGCCCGAAGAAGGACTCTGTACACCTTGCTCTGCACAACATCCGAGTCGATAAGGTAAGTCCTAGCGATATTTGAGCAGTAGCTATTGTAGCGGGACCCGACCGAGCAGATGATAATGCTGGAAGAATCATAATAGAGATACTCATCATTGCTCGATGCACTTGGTCGTAGGTCAAAGTTGCCTCAACTCTGAAAGATCGGAGGATAATATATATCCACATTTTCAGCTTTCAGTTGCAGGCCGATCTTTGCAGGGTCCAGTAAGGCCTTCTTTGCAGTGCACATTTCAGCTTTCAGCTTTCAGTCGCAGGCCGATCTTTGCAGTCCTAGCGATATTCGAGCAGTAGCTATTGTACGTTGACGATATGTTGGTCATAGGCCATGATACTAGCAAGATTGCTCAGTTGAAGAGAGATTTAAGCAAGTATTTTGCGATGAAAGACTTAAGAGCGGCAAAAGAGATACTCGGTATGAAGATCTCCTGAGATAGAAAGAATGGGAAGCTATGGTTGTCCCAAGAAGACTACATCGAGAAGGTACCTGTCATGGTGTGCACCAGGCCCGATATTGCTCATGTTGTTGGAGTAGTCAGTCGTTTTCTCTCCAATTCGGGAAGAGAACATTGGGAAGCCGTCAAGTGGATATTGAGATATCTCAAAGGTACCTCAAGAGCATGTTTATGCTTCGGTGGTGGTGACCCTATGCTAGTTGGATATACCGATTCAGATATGGCAGGTGATGTTGATTCCAGAAAGTCCATTTCAGGATTTCTGATGACTTTTCCAGGGGGAGCCGTGTCGTGGCAGTTTAAGCTGCAAAAGTGTGTTGCGTTGTCTACCACAGAAGCCGAATATATTGCGATTAAAGAAGGTTGTAAAGAGTCTTTGTGGATGAGGAGATTCTTAGAGGAATTGGGCTTTCACCAGGAGAAATATATTGTGTTCAGTGATAGCCAAAGCGATATCCACCTCTCCAAGAACTCGTCATTTCATTCGAGGTCCAAGCACATTGAAGTGAGGTATCACTGGATTCGAAACGTTCTCAAATCAAAACAATTGCACTTAGCGAAAGTGCACACGAGTGAGAATGGTGCAGACATGATGACGAAGACTTTGCCGAAAGAGAAGCTTGAAGTATGTCGGCGAAGAGCAGGCTTGTTGGAGCCCACCACTTGATCCGAAGGGGGAGTTTGTTGAGTCTGGCCCAATTACGGTGGGCTTGGACTAAATAAGGGCCAAAGGCCCATTCTTTTTAATAAAAAGAATAAAAAAAATCTGCTTGATATAACCCACTGTGCGCAGCGACAGTAGAAGAAAGGAACAGAAACAAGTTTATACACTCACCTTTTTTCCCGCAACTGCACTGCGCAGTCACAGGAAATCGTCGATTCCGGGCGATTGCACCGTTGGATCGTCACAAAATTGTGACAGCAGGTTCATGACTTCTTACTCTTCGTTTTGAACGGTGGAGATTGGATTTTGAGCACGTTTGGGCTGTCTGTTTTGTGTGTGACGTGAAGGGGCAGATTTTATGTTTAGTTGATTTGTTTCTTGTGGTTTGCCAAGATGTTGTGTTGTGATCTTGAGGATGGTTGTTTGCCTCTAGTTTGGTGAACTAGAGAAGATTTCGGTTGTACCCATTATCGGATTGATATAGTGGATGATTTAAGCGGCCTACGAGTCCCGTGGTTTTTACCCAATTTAGGGTTTTCCACGCTAAAATCTCATATGTCATTTTATTGCTTGCTTGATCATCGTTGGTTTGCTATTGCTTGTGGTTATTGTTGTTGTTGATTGGGCTTGGTGCTTGTTATTCGGTTAAAGTCATTATTGTATTTGGTGTCTTTAACCACAACAGGTCGCCGTCGAGTCGCTGAAGATAAAGCACATAATTGAAAACGAACCCGCCGGCAACGTCATCTCGCTGCCCAATGTCTCGTCAGAGGTGCTGACGAGGGTAATTGAGTACTGCAGGCGTCACGCGTTCGGGGAGTACGATGACACGTTGAAGGATTACGATGCCGAGTTCGTGAAGGTCGACAACGAGCTGCTATTTGAACTGATCTCGATATTCTTTCATCTTCCATCTATATATTTTCGATTCTTTTGTTTTGGACCTAGATTTTGTTGGCGATCTGGTTTTTCCGCTTGTTTTTGTGGAGTTTATTTTTTTTGCCTAGATAGTTGATGACTCTGGCGCTATGTTCTGTTCTGTTCTGTTAATGCAAATTCTGTGCTTTGTTTCCACTTTCATGACTTTGGGTTTTGTAACTCTGATCTTTTACAGGCTTCTTTGTTTTCTCTTGGTGTATTTTACCATGAGATGTTGGTATTAACTGTACTAGCTTGTTTATGTGGGCTATGAACCAATTCTTTGATTATACTGTTGTATACAAACTGTTCTAAGAATGTGCTGTGTGTAGGCGGTAGGCCTACATGCATTTAGGAGCAGCCTCTGTGTTTGTTGTTTTCTTTGTCATGATTGCTTTTGCGGTTTTGTTTCTTTTTCTTTTATCGCGTCTCCCTTATTTTGAATTTATCGTTTATATTGCTGAGTTTTTTTGGTGAGCCTTGTTGAATCGTAGTATGAGTTTTATACATTCAAGGATTGTTGTTGTGCTAAATTCTAGTAGCATGGTCTGAAGTGTTTGCCCTGTGCCATGAGTGATTTGTGGTACAAGGATAACCTAGTGCTTAACTCAAGAAGTTTTGATACAAGTGAAGGTTATAGCAGTGCTCTCGTCTTTTCAGGCTGCCAACTGCTTGAACATCCCAGGGATGCTCGATATCACGTGCCAAGCTGCTGCCGACATGCTCAAGGGAAAGACACCCGAGGAAGTCCGCGCTATTTACAACATCACTAACGACCTCACCCCGGAGGAGGAAGAGAAAATTCGCAAGGAGTACTGGTGGGCCTTCGGGCAGCTGTAGGTTGCCTTTTGAACAAGTGTTGAAAGTAGGAAATCTGGTATCATTTAATAATTGGAGACATTTCCCTATGTTCTTTCTCATCTTCAAATCCAGTGTTGATTTGATTATTACATTAATTCAGAATTTCTGAAGTAGTTCACTGTTGATTTTGCTTGTTTTTCTTAAGTTGAGTGGTGGTTGTGTTGTTTCCTATATTGTTTTATGCACATGGGTTGAAATTATGCCAAATAGGTAGGATTTGTTCCATAAGTTAATGATATTTGCCTGTGGCCTGATGGGTGATTTAATTTATTCTTAATTTATAACATTAGAAAGTGACACATTTCGAGGAATTTAAATAATTATCAAGGGCCTTCTATTGGAGTGAAGGCCATTAGAGTGCATGGGCTTAGTCCGTGTAATCTTGACGCACTCTATCCTGTCTGCATTCGGTTTCATTTCTTATACTTTGGGTTTGTTTGGTTACTAGTGAACATCATCATCATGCATCTCCTCAAAATCTAACGGCCGAATGTCTCTAAACTTAAGAGATGAACTTGAATAGAAAACGAGTATAGCACGACTATGTATATGATATATTAATGTATGATAATAAGAGCTCTTAAACGAAATAAGTCAGCTTGTGAACTCAACTTGTGGTTAATAATAATAATAATAATAATAATAGTAATAATAATAATAATAATAATTATAATAATAATAATAATTATTATTATTATTATTATAATTATTATTATTATTATTATTACTATTATTATTATTAATAGGTATCTTAGAGAATAAGGTAGGAATTCAATATTATTATAATAAATATTGTCTTGTTGGACAAGTTAGGACTAGGGTTATGAGCTTTATTTAAAGAACTCGTCTTCGATTGTTTTAATCAGTTGATTTATTGAATGAATAAAAGATGATTTGGTTGTGAGTTTTACGTGTTTTACGAGAGAGTCTCGTTTACTCGTTTATCCTTCCCATTCGTACGTTTTCCTACATCAATTGGTATCAGAGATCAGCACGATTCAAGATGCCACCGCGGAAGGACGACATCGACGGGCACGATGTCACCATTGAGTATCTGGGCCGACAAGCCACAGGTTTCGGCTGCCAGATCAATCAATTGGATCGTCGAGTTGAGGATCTTTCAACGGGGATCAAGAAGTCTGTCTTATGATCAACAACGTGGTTGAGGAATTGCAGATGAACCGTGACGCCGACAACCGGGACATTCGCGGGGGAGTTCACGGAGGACGTGGAGGTCGTTGTCCAGGCGGGGCGCCCTGCCGGAGATCTCCACAACCACCGTCCGACGACGAAGACGACGAGATGGTATCCTCGAAGGTGAATCCCTTCGGTGAGTGGCAACCTCTGCACGTCGAGGCTGACCCCTTCGCTGCATTCGACGGTTGTGGCATTCGGCGACGAGGCCCGATCTTCGTGGACGGCGACGATCAACGCTGCGATAGGGGCTGGCGCGAGAAGGCAGCCTTCGCTGGCAGATATCGTGCATCGCGAATATGGTCAATGGGAGTGCTCGTTTCGCGTTGACATCCCCGAATTTGACGAAGAGCAAGTTGACAGGTTATTGTACGATGGTCCACCGATTTTTTATGAAGAACCCGAGGAGGTGAAGGAGCGTCTTACTTGTGAAGTGGACAGTCTATGACGGTCCGTCGATTTTCGATGAGGAGTCTCCGGGCCCTGTGGAATTCAATCATGTTTCAGGTATCGAAATTTAGCTATTGGAAGAATTTGGTGTTCGATTGTAGTTATTCTATTGCCCAGGCTCGAGATTTTCTCCCATTGGAATTTGTTGTGACCTTGCAAACAAATTATTTTGTAGTATCCACGGCGACTTAAAAATTCTATGTATGGCTGCTGCATATATGTCTTTCCATGAATTTCAAGGGGGTGATACCATGGAGGTGTGACATTCAACCTTCGTGTTCGACCGAGAAGACGACGAGGGCTTCCTACCATGGGTTCGACACCACACGCCGGCCACGGGTGCGCATCGGCTTCGAGGGCGAAACCTTCTGACCAGGGGAGAATGGTGTAGAATAATAATTAAGATTATTATTATTATTTATTATTATTATGATTATTATTTATTATTATTATTATTATTATTATTATTATTATTATTTTTTATGGGATCAAAATAATTACAAGAAATTGGAGGGGAGCCGAGATACTATCTGGGCCCCCACTCCTTATTATTATTATTATTATTATTATTATTATTATTATTATTATTATTATTATTATTTTATAGGTATCTTGGAGGATAAGCTAGGAATTCAATATATCTCTCTTATATATATACAAACAAGTTTGGGCGATTGTGGTGACGACACGTGTCCATTTTCGACCCTTCCTTTGGTCGACACGTGTCTGTGACCTTTTTTTTTGCCCTTCATTTGGCCAAAACGGCGCCGTTTACCTGCTGTCATGCATTTTACTTCGCAGTGGCCATTGGTACTGTTCTGCTGTTTGTATTTCCGCTTCTTCGGTACTCAATTGTCAACAAATCTACTTTCTCCTTAATTCCCGCACACGCAATTTCCGGATTTGACAGGAGCAGGTGAGGTTGAATTTGTAGAGGCCTCCCTCGACTTTTCCCTTAAAATCTGACCCAACATAATTTACAAAATAAAGTGGATACAGTTTTCTCTTTTTGATCCCTTCGCCTTTTTCTCTTACTTGACCTACTCGGTAGTCGTTCGTGAGACGGATGAACGGCGGCGCGTCGTTGGTGAGGGTGACGTTGGATGGGCGGGCGGCTCCGAACGCCGCTCTGACTGGCGATATCCATGCTTGGCTCTTCTTAGTTTAGACACAGACGATTCGAAAGATTTTTTCTTCAGCCGAAAGTATGTTTTTAATTATTATTGTTATGTGTTTTTATATCGTGGAGGAATAAATAAGGCTTTATTTGGGCATTCTTTTATTTTTATTTTTGTGTGTGGGATTGTAGAAGTGGAACTGTGGAAGTTCTGTGGGTCTTTTTCAACACATTTGAACTTTGTGGTTAGCAGATCTTGCTAAATATTTTCTTTTATTTTTCCAATTTTGAATGAAATTTGAAAAATATACTGAACTTGAATTGCGGTTGCGCATTGATTGTAGGTGATTCTTCTGAGTTTAAATAAGCACTGATTCACCTTTGTGGGTGATAATTCTATGTCTGCGAGTGGCAGACACGGTCCGATGCAAGGTTGAATACCGTTGATTGGAGTTCAAGGTACGAAACAAGAAAATATTTTTTTCACAAACATACCTAATCAATCTCAAGTTTAAAACCCAATCCCAACATTATGAATTCATCTTTTTTGCTTGTGTAGAGCGTATGAGCTCACAGAACCCATCAGCATCTCCTCCCAGGTATTATTACATTCACTTTATTTATTAGACAATCAGTTATCACGTTTCATAAAGGATAATGTATATTTTGCAGCCCCAGATTGATTTCAACAGAATTTGAATTTTAAAATTAGACAGGATCAGCGGTATATTATTCCCCTTTCATCTAATTGCTTTAAGATTGTCGAAAGAGCTTAAACTTGTTTTCTTGATGTTGCACTCATAAGGTCACAGGCAGATGATCATGATGAAAATCCCAAAAAGGATAAATTATCGATCAAGAAGAAAGGAATAGGATCCGAAGTAAGGGCTGAACGCATGGCCAATGAAGACACTGATTTGCAGTTGCTTGGGGAAGTTGAACGGACAACACAACTGCAAAAACAGAAGAAACGCAGGCGTCAAGGACATGAAGACGAGGTGCGCTTTAATACATATTTATTTTAATTTTCTTTTTGTGTATTTTCAAAATCTTGTTCATCTTTCGAACTGTAAAGCCGACAGTATCTTTCTGTGTAGTTTCCGGAGCAGGTTGTAATTTTGTATAGGCTGGAAAGTTACGTCTTCCTACTTCGCTTTTATTTATAAAAGTTACGATTCTAGTTATGTTTTATTGGTATGTGTTTTTGTGATTGAAGATACTAGCGAAACTCAAACGTTTTAAGTCAGCTTTCTCGACCAAATTCGAAGGATCGAGTAATGGAAATGCTGGTGGCGAGAAGAAGGATGACCACAATTATACTGATGATGACGATGACTGGATGAAAGCTAGCTAACATTTGCTCGTGAGCCTGGGAAGGTAAGTTGGGAGTATAATTTTGTGTACTACTTTTCTATACTAATTTTATTTATTTATTTCTATATTTATATCTATATAAACAAGGACAACTATTTACTAAATATAGTAGCAAAAAAAAAAAAAAAATGACAGCATCAATGCATATCTTATTTGGAAACTTTGTAAATATGTGCATTGGTTCCTTGCATATTCATATTTCAAATCAGATATGATCAAATTAATTCTTTATTTATTAATATCTGCAATAATTTTATTGATATTCATTATAATAAACTACTATTCGGACTATGAATTGTGATTCATGTTGATAATATTTTTGTTAACATAAACATGAAAGTAAATTTTAAGTCTTAAACATATTGTTAATTTGTTCCACAAGTGTTGACTTTCATTCAAAAAAATTTTAAACAATCATAACATGTTAGTTAAACAATAACTGTCTCTTTGTGGATGGCTTATTGTGTGATGTTACCAAACGACATATTAATAATAATCTTATCCATTTTGGAAATAAATGTCGATTGCCAAGTTCAAATTTTATTTTACCTATGTTACGCTAGAAGTTGTGTCGTATACATTGGTATACATATTATGTTTGCTAGATGGCACTATAATATTTCTAATTGAGAATTATTAAATTGCTTGTCTGGTGGGGGATGAAGGGATTGTGGGAGTTGGATCCATGTGTTTCAGTTGATCGTGCATCTTTTGGCTTTCGTTAAATACAAAACTTTTCACTGGGTGCTTCTATATCTGCAAGAATAAGAATATAGAGATATTTTCCATGTTTTCTCTTCTTTTTATTTTATGGGTATATGTGATTTTGATATTTTAAACTCTC